AAAGGTCACCAATGTGGTGGATGTTAACAACCACGTAGACACCACTTTCAACTCCCTCTAGGTCTCTACCCTACGCTCCCAACCCATCACGTTCTCCAGATACCTCTCTTTCATGGCCCCGGTCTCACTCACACCCACTCAGTTCTGCAGTGGCGTGGGGAGGGGCAAGGAGGTGGCATTTCCCTTTGCTCCTTGATCTGTGACCTGTGGCTGGGTGGGCTTTGGTGTCCAGTGTCCAGCAGTCCAGTGACCCTGTACAGTGTGTGCTCTTGGTTCTGGAAAACACCTTATAGTCAAATTAAAAACAACAGAGATTGTGAATGAGATTGTTTTTCTCTCTGAAGTCTAAACAATTTTGAAGCGCTCTTGGCTTTCCCAAGCGCTATGTAAATAAAAGATTACTTATTATCTTACTAATGATGACATTTAAAACCAGAAACTCTCAATATAAAAAAAAACAAGACTTAATACTTTTACAGCCTAATTCCCTCTTTCTTTTTTAGGACGAAGTCTACAATCATTAATCACTTTTAAACAGATTCTAATTTAAATGTTTGAAAAACGGCTTTTGTAACTAAAATAAAAACATAAAAAAATTCTCACTAACAGCTATGAAATATCAGATATACAATAATGGACTCACAAAATAAGCAGCAGATTTAAAAAGAAAAGCAAAGCTTTTTGTACTAATCTTTGGGTTTCAAAAACATACAAATTCAAAACTTCTATTCCCTAATGGTGTTTAAAAACGTTTAACTGTGTCTAACACAATGTTCAAATGGCAAATTTAGCAAATTTAACGGAATAACTACTATGAAAAGCCAAATTCCTAAAGCAGTAGCTTTGCTCTGATTCACAGCCAGAGCAGCGAAGGAGGGGGCCGTTTCCCTGACAACGGCAGCAGATAGAGATGTGCACACACAGGCAAAAAGATACAGAAGAATAACTTTCAAGATTACTTTGTTAAGCGAATATAACTGATGTTGTTCTTTATACTTTTGTCATCCAAATCTAGAAGTGATCACTTTCCACACTAGTAACAAAAGGCACTCTTGTCTTTAACGTTTACGCTTCTATTTTATCGAGGTAGCAAACTAATTTAAACTTAAAATCTCTTTTTAAAAAACAAAAAACAACTGTTGGATACAGCCCTCTCATAGTTTAACTGTAGATAAAACTCTGCAAAAAATGTAAATAACTCACGAAAGCTCTCATAGCTCAACTTTAGATAAAACTCTGCATTCTCCGGTGAACTCTGTTCACTCCAAAAAACAAAAAACTCCCTTTTTCTGTATGTAATTTAAACCGTGATCACTGAAATATTGTTGCTTATGTACTTTTGTCATTTATCAGCTTGAAATTCGTCAATTTCAAAGCTTTTGTAACAAAGGCCTCCTTAACACGTTTCCCTTTTTATTGCTTTTATTATTACACCATGGTTTCTCTCAAAGGGACTTTAACCCTGAAGCTTCTTCTCAAAGGGACTTTAACCCCGAGGCTTTTCTCAAAGGGACTTTAACCCCGAGGCTTTTCTCAAAGGGACTTTAACCCCGAGGCTCAAAGGGACTTTAACCCCGAGACTTTCTCAAAGGGACTTTAACCCCGAGGCTCAAAGGGACTTTAACCCCCGAGACTTTCTCAAAGGGACTTTAACCCCCAGGCTCAAAGGGACTTTAACCCCCGAGACTTTCTCAAAGGGACTTTAACCCCGAGGCTCAAAGGGACTTTAACCCCGAGACTTTCTCAAAGGGACTTTAACCCCGAGGCTCAAAGGGACTTTAACCCCGAGACTTCTTCAAAATACAATTTAGAGAGTTTGACAGACCCCAAAAAACAGACCAAAATTTAGCTAATATCCAATTATGCAGACTTTACATATAAAAAGGTGTCTGCTTACCTTATTCTTGTCAAACCGGTTCCAAGGACTGTCCGAGAGGTCTGCCAACTCTTTTCCGCGTCGGAATCTTCAATTTAAAAAACAAAAGTGACAGAAGCGACAAGAAGCATCCAGGAACAGCTCTTCCAGCCTGCTGGAATCCCCGCTCCCAGACACAGCATGCCGATCTCTCACGCAGAGGAAAAGAAACAGAGCAAAACTCCCTCAAAACAATCCAGAGAATGGCACACACTGAGCCGCGCATTCTCCACCAAATCTGTTAGGATTTAAGGCAGACAGAGACGGATCGTGGTGCGCCAAACTCTGGAAGTTTATTTAAGTTTCTCTCAAGTTCCACTGTTTTACTCTGTTTCTTTTTCTCAGACAGACTAAAGGCAGTACACAGTTTATATAGTCATTGTCACGTCACACATCGAAAGACATACGTGTCACAAAGAGACAGTCACATCATAGTCATAACATGGAGTCCTTGTAGAGTCCTTGTACAGTCCTGCACGTAGGCCATATTGCTATCTAATACTAATACTAGCATAATTCTTCACTTGAGGAGGAGAATAGTTTGACCAATAGAAAGACATTCATTTTATTTTCAAGACAATTATCAATCAATATCAATTAAAGGCTTGATATCTCTCTTACTTTGCGTGCGGCATATATTAGTTTCAAATTATATGTTGAATTACAGTAAGCAAATGAGCTTCTATTCTGATATTGAGTGTCACCTCTATCCTCTATTCTTAAGTTATTAAAAGCATGTTGAATTTTTATATCGCCAAAAGAAAGGAAGTTGTTGTATAACTTCTTCGTTAGTGCAAAGCTGGAAGCAACGTTCCATGTTGCAGGGCAGTCAAACAGTAAATTAAGTGTTCCCTATGACGAGCTGCACAATGTATTTAAGCGCAGGAAATACTAATTATGCATGATGGATTGTAATGAGGCGAAGTTTCATAATGAGGCAGGGAGCGATTTAGTGTCGTTTTTGTGGTATTTGCAGCAGTATTACAAACAGCGTGTCATTTTCGTGTTTGTTTTGAGGCCCAGCCAGCTTAGTATTTCACTGGAGCTAATTAACTTTAGTCCACAGAAGTGAAAGGACGCGGCGGCGGCTGGGGTGTGTCAGTAACAATCAAGTGACAGTACAATTATGGTGTCGGCGCTCCCCAAACAGAGCCAGTTTGCCCTTCAGAATACAAAGAACAGAGGGGGTATAACGGATGTGAACAATGTAACTGAATGATATGGGAATGTATTTTGAAATTATAGGGTTGAATGGTCCCAACAAATGTTATTTTTCTTCTCTTCCAATGTGTTGTGGCATTATCGCAGCTGGCCAAACAAAAAGCTGGCAGTGGCGTTAAAATGGCTTTCTTTCTTTTTGGCATAATAAAAGCAACACCAAAAAATCAGCATTAAATAATAAAATGCAAATGACTGTGTCCCACTATATACAGATATCTTTCCTTTTTTATTGACCAAATTGTATAAAAAACAAGCTTTTGACAAATTAGAATGAAAACAGGTAATCTACTTCCTGCACATTAGTGATCTCCTCATTATGGCACTATGCTCTTGTGTTGTTCACTCCCACTGACCCAGTACTGACCCGGTACAGACCCAGTACAGACCCAGTACTGACCCAGTACAGACCGTCTGTCTGATGGGTAAATTAACATATGTCAAACAAAACAATGTTGGATCTGAACTGTGTTCATGGTTTAAAATTCTACAGAACAAACTTTGAAATGTATGAACTACTTCAATCCCTTTCTGAATCTCAAGATATCGCCATTTATCATCTTTGTATTCAGCCCCCTCTAATCTGCAGACTCCAAATTCCTCACTCCAACTGACAAATCCAAGCACCAAACCTTGGGGGCTGCTCCCACCCTCTGGAACTCTTCCTCCCACAAACTCTTGACTCACTGAACACCTTCTTCAGAAAACAGCTAAAACTCACTTCTTCCTCCAAGTCTATAACTCATAGTTAGTTCACTGTATTATTATTATTAATGTGTATTTAATGTTTAGTTTTAAAGGGTCTTTGAATTCCTTTGAGAAAAAACACAATTGTGTAATATTTGCAACATAATAAAATGGTGTTAAACTGCATGTTCATGCTTAGCCCAGGTCACAACAGTTTTAAAATCACATGTATTATAAATAAGACTTTCTAAGTACAAAAAAATGACACCTGGCCTGTACTATCTACCTTTCATTTTGGTTTACTTTCTGAACTTTATCTGTGAGAACAGCACATCACCCACTCAGGGAGGAATAGATAGATTAGAGATTTAATCAATTTAATCAATTAATTGGTCAAGAGACCATTAGAGAAAGTGCCATTGTTCAGTCCACTCACCGTGAGCCGTTAAGGAAAGCAACTATGTATATGATAAATGTTACATTTGTCAGCGAAAGGTTGTGTTGTTCTACTGTTAGATAGTCCAAGGCCGCTCTCGGAGGCCTTTGCTGCGTGTCGAGTTAGATTCCTCGTTTCCATCACGTTGAAGCTGACGTAGCTGATGCATGAAGAGACACAGACGCTGCAGTGGGAGAAGATGGCTGTCCAATCACAGTGATAAGGAGGCGGGCTGACATCGTTACAGTCTGACATGAGGCGCCTGGCTCTGACTCCAGAAAATCAAACACACTGTGCTATCCATATGGCAAATTTCCACCAATCCAAAACAGCTTTAGAGCCTGATCCGAAAGACATCTCTTGGCTCAACTTCAAGTCACACATGTGTGACTGACTATGCTCAAGGGAAAACCCTTTTTACCTGCAATTGTTGGACATTGGAGCTGATGTGGCTGAAAATAATTGGTACATACAGGAGCAGACTGAAGCGAACATGTGAGAGTTCTGCCCAATCAGCGCTGACGTTACAGCAATGCAAGACAACTATACCTTTGCAGAGGAAATAAAAATGTGTTAGTGTAATATAAAATACATAGGCCTACCCCACTAAACATCCGACGTCCACTCAACCTCCAGATCACGTCCATATAGCGTCGGTCGGTCGTGACCTTTTATTCACGTCCAAACGACGTCTGTGTAAGGTGTAATCTGGACACTAATTTTTCTTCTGTTGTGGTCTCTCAGGTTCGTCGTACTTCTTCAAGGGGAAGGAGTACTGGCGCGTCCCCAGCAGCGACATGGAGGCGGAGGCCGGTTTTCCACGGCTCATTGCTAAAGACTGGCTGCTGTGCACGGAGATGCAGTCGGACTCTCCAGAGCCAGAGCCCAAAAGCCCCGAGAGCAGAGGGAACGTGCACGGACACCCGGACCACGCGGAGAACGGCTACGAAGTGTGCTCCTGCACCTCTGACAGTGCATCTCCTCTGGGGCTGCACACTCAGGCCTCGCCCCTGTGGCTGCTGGGTTTGGCGCTGTGGACGCTGGGTCACACGCTCACGGCTCAACTATGATGCCAAAGCACTGGACTACTTAAGAACTCAACACTCACAGTGGACGCTGAGCTCAAGCTAAAATTTATATAATTTTTATTTTATTTTATTTGTATTATTTGGGGCATTGAAAAGCAAATAAAACGGAATGTGGATACTTTTTCTTGCTTTTAACCACGTTACAAGATTGTTCCCAAAAATATAAGTTTTTTTTTTTTTTAAATCCATCCACACTAATATAAGGAATAAATATTAGTGTCGCCCCTTCTGTCTGGAAGCACCTGTCTCAGTCCTGTAATAGTATGATGTCATTGCACCATGACTCTTACATCACCCTCAGAGCTGTTTATTTGCCCTGTAAAACAAAAGCACTGCCCATAAATTAGCTTTTGCGATATCTTAAGATAAACTAAGTTATTTATAAGCACATGTGTTTGCAGACAGAATTTTTCCAATTTAGAAAATAAACAAATCAAATTCATCTCCTCCCTCACATGCCAAAAACATGAAGTCAGTTAAATGAACTTGCTCTACTTTTAGTTAGTTTTGAGACATGGATTCGCAGACATACAGAGGAAGACATTATTTAAATCTATATAAACTATTATTTCCTGTTGGATTTACTTTTTTTCAGTGTCTCAGTGTTTTTCGGGATCGTGTTTAAGAACATTACTTTGATATTTATTTCTACCATTCAGTTAGCGTACCACTCACTTCATCGGAGAAGTTATAGGCCTATGGAGACAAATGAAAAACATTCCCGTTCTGTTTCTGTGAGGGCTCTTGTCAGGCCTCTTACATTAAATGAAATGTCATCAAAGGTTCTCGGTGTAATAAGCTCACCGTGGCTCTCACATAGATTTTGGCTCCACATCAACCTTATACTTTAAGTTGACGTATGTCCAGGCCACACAGAATACTAATGGTCTTATGGCCCCATATGGACACTTCCATTAAAAAGTCATAGCCGTAAAAAGATAGGCCATGTTAAAGCAGTTTGTCCCTTCAGGGTTACCGTCTGGAATATTAACTATTTCTGAAAGATCCTGGTGGTAAATATATGTAATGTGTCAATTAAGAAAACAGACACACAACTGGAAATGTATTCATCGAGTCCTTGAAGTCCTTGAAACACTTTTAAAGAGAAACCTGATCCTCATCATCATTACACTGTGTCCATTTATTGTATGTTGTTATTTTTACTGGTCCTTCACACTGTGCTGCACTCAAATCACTGCTACCTCTAAGATGATCATCTCTGACGGGTTTATGACACTTTGAAGGGCTCTCTGGGGGCCACTGTTGGGCCTTTGTTGTATGGGGAAAGGACGGTTAGAATTAATAAGACCAGACAAAGCACTTCAGGATCCAAGCAAAGATAACAATACTTTATTTTTGACATTATGGCACAACACGGCGTCCTATTCTGTTTAAATAGAATGGAAAATAACAGACTCCTCAGTCAAGTTAACATTGGCTGACAGCTGGATGTTCACCATGGCAACAGCATGAGCTTGTCCAAACTCTCGTTGTAAATATTGGTTTGATATTTTTTTTAATCAAGAAGAACACGGTTTTACGCTTAATCATGTCTGTGCTGTTTCTTCTTGAGGAAGTGCATACAGTACTGACTGAACTATAAGGGGATGCATGTCTTGCCCCCTGGGGTACAGGAATGGACTTTGAGCTCTCTGGCCTGTTGAGCTCCAGATCTTGGCACACGATCCTGCTTCCCGGTGTGGTTATGTGAACAGCAGAGAGCCTCTACGTGGAAGTGTTGGAAAATACACAAGACTTGTCCATGTATGATTAGTGATATTGTCGGAGCAATGATCATGGACTTATTATTTTGAGTTTTAGTAGGAATGTTATTGTCAATACAGATGGGGTTTAGCAGAGTGCTATGATCATCGTGTCTACAGTGCGTTAAAACACCTCATCATTAGAAGAGTTATCAACTGTTGTCAAGTATTACATTACAACAAGAATAGTGCAGTGGATTCTCTTCCACTGCAGACCATTTTTGGACAAAATGTACTTTCTCTTCAAATGTAGCTAATGCAATCTATGATGCGAGTTCTGTACTTTAGTTGTATTGAGTATGTCTTTTGTTGCATTCACGTGTTTGTCCAAATGCCTTCATGAACTCGATTACAGTACTTGAAATGCTTTAGATGGGAGTTTAATGCTATTATTGTGATTTTTAAAGTCGCTTCACTAGAAGCAGATTGGACTGACTCATCTTCGTCAGCTGCTTGTTTGTCCTTTAGAAACTCTTCCTCCTCCATGATTTATTGCAATGCCTTTGGATGGTTTTATTAATTTATTCTACAGTCAACTAAGCTTAATTTTCCATCTCAATCAAACGGCTTCAGCCCTCAGTGCTGGAGCAGGTTGTGTCCTTTGTTGTTCAAACAAAAGATCAGGGCTGAGGTCATTTTACTTGTTTTCAGTATATTTAAATGTCCAGATATTAAGGCTAAGGTGTCCTTAACTCATTGACTGCCAACCCACAGAATATGATGTGCTATGACGATGTGAAATATGAAACCAGATTCTGAAAGACTGGATTGTCTACTTCCAACAGCAAAAATAAGTGTGTTTCCTGCTAGTTTTATTCTCCTGTAATCCCCAGTCGCCTAGAAAGAAGTTTGACAGAAATCACCGCTCTCAGACAAATACGTCAAGGGCAGTCAATGAGTTAAGTAAAAACACAAAAGTTGACCAAATTCTGACCACTGGAAATACAACTTTCAAGATGCCGTCAGAGATGGGCATGACGCCTTTTAACCTCTCATCCCGGAAACCTCCAGTGCCAGGTCCACATTATCTTTTTAAGCAGAACATAAGACAGACTTTTAGAATCACCAGAGCCAAACCATTGCTTCACTACTTTCACATAACTACACGTCATCTTCAATCGGCTCATTTTCAATCTTATTATTCATTTTGATTTGATCTTTTCAATTAAAGGATCAGTATATTTTCATTAAAAGTGTCACTTTCATTATTTGACTGTCTTGTCTTCAAGAGTGAACAGGCTTCAAGTAACAAGCCTTCATTAGAAAACCCATCTTTTTTTTTTTTTTTTTTACCGCTGAGGGACCCAAAAGTATGTTTAGTTTGCTAAGCTCTTTCTGTCGGTGGCTGTATACTACTTTTACTACGTCTTCACTTTACTCTGAAGAGACAAGCTGCTCATGCTACGTTTTTCTCATTCCACACATGGTTTTATTTGTATATTCTGTATCTAATTGAGAATATTAAGGTCGTGTTACTTATTGGTTCGTCAACGAGACCTTGTGTCTTCTGTGATCATGTGAGATTTCTTTTGATTACTTTTAGATGTATTATTTCTGTAAAGCTCTATTTACCTACAATCTGAATAAAGAGGAATATATTTGAGTTACAGCTGTTATTGCAAGGAACAAAAAATCCAGTGGGCTGTGTATATTTTATGGCTGTGTTTTGTAATGTAAAATATTTTTGTATGAAAAAATAAATAAAAACATGAATGAACCAATTGTGAGAAAAGATTGACTCTTTTGTGTTGAAATAAGAGACAGCAATTCTGATGTAAGTGTGTTTGTATTTGAATAAAGCTGGGGTTGTTTCATAAATATTACATTTTGTTTGTATCACAAAGTCAAACAAAGAGTCTTGTAAACATGAACAAGTTTAACAAATCAGACACAACATGCTGTATCTATCTTATTAGAAACATGTTATCCTTCTCTGTTTACTAGCATAAGAGAGGGCCCTGTGAGTCACTATTTGGGCTCGGGGTGAGAAAATGAGACAGGGCAAAAATATGCAAATGTTGAAAACTATTGATAGAACCAGTTTTGAGGGACAGGAATTAGTACAATACAATTCAAAACAATTTATTCTCGTATAAGGCCCTAAATCACAGCAGCAGTCATCTCAGAGGAAAAAAACATTGAAATCACCAACACAGGTCAGAGAATCAACAGTTAAGACACAAAAAACACTGTATATGTATTGGTCAGTAGGGGCGGGTCTAAAAAATGTCCAAAATGACGTGCGCTGACATGCTTGCAATACCACCCCGGGCCAATGGGGGTGGACCCTGTCGTAAAATATCAATTTTAAGGACTCAAGCGACACTTGTGGAGTAACTGGTTTATTTTACGTTGCTCCAAACCATTCAACATGTAAAAGTCTCTATTCAACAGTTCCGGTTTAACCCTTCACAATAAGACGTAATACTTATATAAACGGACTACACCACAGACCTGGAACAAGAATTAGCCAATGCTAACATATAGCATCTTCTTGTCTCTCGAAAACACCTTTACAGGATTGTCCAAAAGTTGGCTCTTGGCCCAAAGCTCCGTTCCACATGTGTGTCAATGCTGAGAGGGGTGAATTTTTTTGGACCACTCTAGTTTAGTCGCTGTGAATTTTTGAAGTCACTCGTTTAAATGAAAGGCTCGTGCAGCTGACGCATGCGCAGATGCGTTTTTTTCACATTTTCCAGCCCCCGCGGCCATTTTGAAACTGCCCATTGGTATGGTGATGGTCCATGTGGAGAGACCAATGTCCATAAATGTTGATAAATGTCCATACATGGCATAGAATGTTAAAGTGTCCTGGATCAACACCACATCCTTCTTGTTTAACACTAACTGTCTGACAGAACCTCCTGCATCAGCAAGAAAAAACTCTATAACCCAGTGGGAGAAAAGTGGGAAACCTCGGGGAGATTCACGTTGAGAGAGGGATTCCCGCCACAGGGACGGACCAGGGCCATGCAGCGGCCACAGGGACGGACCAGGGCCATGCAGCGGCCGCAGGGACGGACCAGGGCCATGCAGCGGCCACAGGGACGGACCAGGGCCATGCAGCGGCCACAGGGACGGACCAGGGCCATGCAGCGGCCGCAGGGACGGACCAGGGCCATGCAGCGGCCACAGGGACGGACCAGGGCCATGCAGCGGCCGCAGGGACGGACCAGGGCCATGCAGCGGCCACAGGGACGGACCAGGGCCATGCAGCGGCCACAGGGACGGACCAGGGCCATGCAGCGGCCGCAGGGACGGACCAGGGCCATGCAGCGGCCACAGGGACGGACCAGGGCCATGCAGCGGCCACAGGGACGGACCAGGGCCATGCAGCGGCCACAGGGACGGACCAGGGCCATGCAGCGGCCACAGGGACGGACCAGGGCCATGCAGCGGCCACAGGGACGGACCAGGGCCATGCAGCGGCCACAGGGACGGACCAGGGCCATGCAGCGGCCACAGGGACGGACCAGGGCCATGCAGCGGCCACAGGGACGGACCAGGGCCATGCAGCGGCCACAGGGACGGACCAGGGCCATGCAGCGGCCGCAGAACGTGGACAGGGACGGTGCAGGACTGAAGCAGCTCCCAGGCGGGTCGGGCAGGTCTATACGATATATAGTTAGGTGAGGTTTGTGTTTGTGACAAAGCTTGAAAGATGCAGCAGACCGGGTCCCATACAAGCAGACTCCAAAACCAGACAAACAACCAAACCAAATGCTAAATTGAAGAAAAGTGAACTAGCTACATGGATGTTTATCTATTCTGTTGTGATTCCAAAGTTACTCAAGCTGTCTTGTTTTCGTGCACTTTCCTCACCCAAGACTCCCAAAGCGGAGAAACTTTCAGTCTGTTGTTTACTGTCCGCCACGTTGGATATTTGCCTACAACAAAAATGATGTTGACACATTTTAATTACATTTTGAGATGAAATCCAGTTTTAAAGATTAAAAGTCACTTTTCAGCCACAGAAGCATTTCCTCTCCTGTTCCGGACACACTTCACTAGTATTAATTAACCACAGCAGGCACCAGAAGACACCTGCTCCCACCGGCAAATGGATCACATTATGACAACTCTCAATGTTCAAAGCTGCTGTAAAATATGTTTGTCATTTACACTACGCGGCTTCTTTCGGTGCGGGTTTTGTCTTTGTATTCGCCAACTCCCGCCGAGGAGAAATTATCAAAGCTCCCGTAGCTCATGTATGCGACTGCCTATGAATGCTGCAAAGTGTGCGTCTGAAAACGTTTATGGGAAATTGAGGAATCAGTATGGGAGCGAGGCCGATCAATATGAAAACATTGGGGAGGCAAAAAGAAATGAGGAACAATTACAGGTAAACAAAAGCCCTAAGATAAAAGGCAAACTGTGGCAGAGAAGGATACAGAGAAGGAAACGGAACTGTGTGTGTGTGTGTGTGTGTGTGTGTGGGTTGGCAAGAAGGAACATTGTGAAATCAATCAGTTCTGGAAAAGAGAAGTGACAGCTGCAGCTACAGAAGAGAGACCAGGGACAAGGCACGGTCCACAAAGACATTGTATCTCTCGTAAGGAGAAGACAAGTCTCTTTAATCACATTATTACATGGCTTCAAATGTTTGCTTTTGGTATGAAATCCTCATCTTGACTGAAATAGACATGGATATTTCTGGTGAATATACAGGAACTGTTTTCTTCCCATTCCAAAGTCATGTTTGATGATGGAACAGCAGTCACTTAAACTTTTGGGTGTGGTTTTCTTGGTGTGTTTTTTCCCTTGGTTTGGTGCGTGCCAATGGCTATGTCTGAATTAGTGGGCAGCTGGGGTAGGTGTCGGCACTAGATAATAAACGGAATCTGGACGAAAGTAACAATCCTACTTTCGAATTAGTTTTAGACTAATAAGTCCTTAAGTGGTGACTGGTTAAGTTTTAGGTGTCCGAGTAAGATGGTTAAGGTTAGGGTTAAGGTAGTCTGAGTAAGATGGTTAAGGTTAGGGTTAAGGTGGTCTGAGTAAGATGGTTAAGGTTAGGGTTAAGGTGGTCTGAGTAAGATGGTTATGGTTAGGGTTAAGGTGGTCTGAGTAAGATGGTTAAGGTTAGGGTTAAGGTGGTCTGAGTAAGATGGTTAAGGTTAGGGTTAAGGTGGTCTGAGTAAGATGGTTAAGGTTAGGGTTAAGGTGGTCTGAGTAAGATGGTTAAGGTTAGGGTTAAGGTGGGTCTGAGTAAGATGGTTAAGGTTAGGGTTAAGGTGGTCTGAGTAAGATGGTTAAGGTTAGGGTTAAGGTGGTCTGAGTAAGATGGTTAAGGTTAGGGTTAAGGTGGTCTGAGTAAGATGGTTAAGGTTAGGGTTAAGGTGGTCTGAGTAAGATGGTTATGGTTAGGGTTAAGGTGGTCTGAGTAAGATGGTTATGGTTAGTGTTAAGGTGGTCTGAGTAAGATGGTTAAGGTTAGGGTTAAGGTGGTCTGAGTAAGATGGTTAAGGTTAGGGTTAAGGTGGTCTGAGTAAGATGGTTAAGGTTAGGGTTAAGGTGGTCTGAGTAAGATGGTTAAGGTTAGGGTTAAGGTGGGTCTGAGTAAGATGGTTAAGGTTAGGGTTAAGGTGGTCTGAGTAAGATGGTTAAGGTTAGGGTTAAGGTGGTCTGAGTAAGATGGTTAAGGTTAGGGTTAAGGTGGTCTGAGTAAGATGGTTAAGGTTAGGGTTAAGGTGGTCTGAGTAAGATGGTTAAGGTTAGGGTTAAGGTGGTCTGAGTAAGATGGTTAAGGTTAGGGTTAAGGTGGTCTGAGTAAGATGGTTAAGGTTAGGGTTAAGGTGGTCTGAGTAAGATGGTTAAGGTTAGGGTTAAGGTGGTCTGAGTAAGATGGTTAAGGTTAGGGTTAAGGTGGGTCTGAGTAAGATGGTTAAGGTTAGGGTTAAGGTGGTCTGAGTAAGATGGTTAAGGTTAGGGTTAAGGTGGTCTGAGTAAGATGGTTAAGGTTAGGGTTAAGGTGGTCTGAGTAAGATGGTTAAGGTTAGGGTTAAGGTGGTCTGAGTAAGATGGTTATGGTTAGGGTTAAGGTGGTCTGAGTAAGATGGTTATGGTTAGGGTTAAGGTGGTCTGAGTAAGATGGTTAAGGTTAGGGTTAAGGTGGTCTGAGTAAGATGGTTAAGGTTAGGGTTAAGGTGGTCTGAGTAAGATGGTTAAGGTTAGGGTTAAGGTGGTCTGAGTAAGATGGTTATGGTTAGGGTTAAGGTGGTCTGAGTAAGATGGTTATGGTTAGGGTTAAGGTGGTCTGAGTAAGATGGTTAAGGTTAGGGTTAAGGTGGTCTGAGTAAGATGGTTAAGGTTAGGGTTAAGGTGGTCTGAGTAAGATGGTTAAGGTTAGGGTTAAGGTGGTCTGAGTAAGATGGTTATGGTTAGGGTTAAGGTGGTCTGAGTAAGATGGTTATGGTTAGTGTTAAGGTGGTCTGAGTAAGATGGTTAAGGTTAGGGTTAAGGTGGTCTGAGTAAGATGGTTAAGGTTAGGGTTAAGGTGGTCTGAGTAAGATGGTTAAGGTTAGGGTTAAGGTGGTCTGAGTAAGATGGTTAAGGTTAGGGTTAAGGTGGGTCTGAGTAAGATGGTTAAGGTTAGGGTTAAGGTGGTCTGAGTAAGATGGTTAAGGTTAGGGTTAAGGTGGTCTGAGTAAGATGGTTAAGGTTAGGGTTAAGGTGGTCTGAGTAAGATGGTTAAGGTTAGGGTTAAGGTAGTCTGAGTAAGATGGTTAAGGTTAGGGTTAAGGTGGTCTGAGTAAGATGGTTAAGGTTAGGGTTAAGGTGGTCTGAGTAAGACGGTTAAGGTTAGGGTTAAGGTGGTCTGAGTAAGATGGTTAAGGTTAGGGTTAAGGTGGGTCTGAGTAAGATGGTTAAGGTTAGGGTTAAGGTGGTCTGAGTAAGATGGTTAAGGTTAGGGTTAAGGTGGTCTGAGTAAGATGGTTAAGGTTAGGGTTAAGGTGGTCTGAGTAAGATGGTTAAGGTTAGGGTTAAGGTGGTCTGAGTAAGATGGTTATGGTTAGGGTTAAGGTGGTCTGAGTAAGATGGTTATGGTTAGGGTTAAGGTGGTCTGAGTAAGATGGTTAAGGTTAGGGTTAAGGTGGTCTGAGTAAGATGGTTAAGGTTAGGGTTAAGGTGGTCTGAGTAAGATGGTTAAGGTTAGGGTTAAGGTGGTCTGAGTAAGATGGTTAAGGTTAGGGTTAAGGTGGGTCTGAGTAAGATGGTTAAGGTTAGGGTTAAGGTGGTCTGAGTAAGATGGTTAAGGTTAGGGTTAAGGTGGGTCTGAGTAAGATGGTTAAGGTTAGGGTTAAGGTGGTCTGAGTAAGATGGTTAAGGTTAGGGTTAAGGTGGTCTGAGTAAGATGGTTAAGGTTAGGGTTAAGGTGGTCTGAGTAAGATGGTTAAGGTTAGGGTTAAGGTGGTCTGAGTAAGATGGTTAAGGTTAGGGTTAAGGTGGTCTGAGTAAGATGGTTAAGGTTAGGGTTAAGGTGGTCTGAGTAAGATGGTTATGGTTAGGGTTAAGGTGGTCTGAGTAAGATGGTTAAGGTTAGGGTTAAGGTGGTCTGAGTAAGATGGTTATGGTTAGGGTTAAGGTGGTCTGAGTAAGATGGTTAAGGTTAGGGTTAAGGTGGTCTGAGTAAGATGGTTAAGGTTAGGGTTAAGGTGGTCTGAGTAAGATGGTTAAGGTTAGGGTTAAGGTGGTCTGAGTAAGATGGTTAAGGTTAGGGTTAAGGTGGTCTGAGTAAGATGGTTAAGGTTAGGGTTAAGGTGGTCTGAGTAAGATGGTTAAGGTTAGGGTTAAGGTGGTCTGAGTAAGATGGTTAAGGTCAAGGTTAAGGTGGTCTGAGTAAGATGGTTAAGGTTAGGGTTAAGGTGGGTCTGAGTAAGATGGTTAAGGTTAGGGTTAAGGTGGTCTGAGTAAGATGGTTAAGGTTAGGGTTAAGGTGGTCTGAGTAAGATGGTTAAGGTTAGGGTTATGGCTGGGTTGGGGTTATTTTATGGGAGTGGCTGGTTAAGTTTAGGCATGAATAGGTAGTTTGTTATATTTACTTCTGCTTCCGTCCTGATTCCGTATATGATCTAGTGCTGACCCTGGGGTAGGCAGTACTTCCCATGTTAAAAGCTAAAGCACCTTCTCCTCTCTCATCCGCTCTGCTCAGGGTGAACAGGTCAGTCACATATTGCACAACAGTAACTTTTAGATTTTTAGCAGATAATTACCCTTTATGTTTTATTTCTTCATATCATGTATCCGCTGTCTTATTCTCATCCTCTCTGCTTGGTGTGAACAGCTCGGGTCCTCCAGGTGCTCTGAAGACTCCGCTCTGCAACTGGGGCCGGCTGGGGACTGAGGCCAACCAAGCCGCACTTTATGCCTGGACCCTGAGGAAGCCTTTTTAAAGCTCGCATCCCTGAGTTTCAGCCTCTCCCCTTTATTTTTAACCCAAATAGCTTTTATCCCCCTGGTTTTAATCATACTTTTGAAAAACTTTTTTATAATAAATCATTTTAAACGTTTAACCGTCGTAGTCTTCTTGTACCCTAGTGATCTAAAAACTAACTTTG